ATAACATTAAAATAACTTCAGTAAGGTTTGTCTCGTTTCTTGTTCTGGACAGGATTTGAAACAGTGATGTTAAATATTCAGGGTACTCTAAGCTAGAAGCACAGATTTTCATAACATAGTTTTCAATTGCTTTGTTCTGGGCTCTCATGCATGGATTTACCCATTGCTTTGTACTGTTGTAGAATCACAGAGTCACATAGGCTGGAGAAGATCATTAATCCAGCACTGCCACGTCCACCATGTCCCTAAGCACCACATCTGCATGTCTTTTGAATATTTCCAGGGATGGTGACTGCACCACTTCCTCAGACAGCCTGTTCCAATGCTTGACCAGTATTTTGGTGAAGAAATTTTTCCTAATAGCTTATCTAAATTTCCCCTGGTGCAACTTGGGGCCGTGATACAGTGGATATAAAGTAGAGCTGCTATGATCTAACAGTAATTAGTTTGCTCACTTTGCATTCATATAAAAGCAAGGCAGAGGACAACACAGAACCGTGATCACAATATAAAATTGTTAAATAAAATATATTTCAAGTATGTATTAATCTGGTAGTGTATTATAAATTAGTTGAATTATTCAGTTTATCTTGGAATAGAGATAGAGCTATGGTTACTGGTGAATGTAATTAATTTAGTCATTTAGAAGCATGAAGTTCTCCAGAGATTGTTGCACAATCCCTATGTGATAACTTGCATTTGTATTTCAAGTTAGCTTGAAGAAAAAAATGAAAAAAATATATGGAAAGTTGTTTTTTTATCAAGATGTAGAATAATCTGTACTCTCTAAATTTTGTCTACATATAAAACACTATAATTTAATTGAATGTGAAAATATATACAAAAATAGGCATTGTTAACTGAGGAAGTTCTTCCATCTTAATGCCAAGAACTTAGTTTGGTTTCTCTGAGGTTGTAAGTCTGCACAGTTCTATTAAATTTCACAGGATTCCTTTGGCTTCCAGTTGTTTTTGGAGAAGGGCCAAATACTGGCAGATAAGCTAATTAATGTAGACATTCATACCTGTAAAATCTTTCACTTGTTAAAGGCATAGATCACTTGAGGTTAAAATAAGATGAACGTTACTTCATGTAATTACAGTATCTGCAGCAGTTAATTTGTGTATCATAGCATTTTAATCAAATGAGTGCAGCAAACAAGTTCAAAATGTGGAAAGAATTACTGAAAAGCACTTGTGACCTTTAGTTAAATGTTCTGTACTCTCTCTTCTCATTACAGACTATTCAAGTTATTGATTTCCCTTTTTGGAAAACAAGGTTGATTTAAGGAAAAGGACCTAAGATAAAGGTGTTTTTTTTTTTTTTTAATTTTGTGATTGACTACTCTTTATAATTTTCCACTGGACAGTGTACTGGCAATGAAGGAAGAGTAAGGGGCAGCATGTAGCCCTCTATATAGTACAGTGGATTGTTTAGGGTAAAATTTAACCTAAATTTTAACCTGAATGTAAATCAGGTTAAAAGCTGTAGGAAGAAATCGAAATGTTATTTGCCAAAACACAGTTTCAAAATAATTTTAATTGGTTTTGCTCACAGCCTCAGAGAGGGCATGATGCATTTCTGAGGCCACTTTGCCACACCTTTATTTAGCCAAGGCAATAACCGCAGGTACTTGCACGTGATGGGAATTGTCTGGCTGGAAAGGGTGAAGGGAGTCCTGGTGAACACCAAGTTGACCATGAACCCACAATGTGCCCTTGTGGCAGAGAAAGCTTCCTGAGCTGGATTAGGGAGAGTGTGGCCAGCAGATGGAGAGAGGTGACCCTTCTCTGGTAAGAGATATACCTGGAGCTCTTTGCCTGGTTCTGGACCTCCCAGTACAAGAGAGACATGGATGTACTGAAGCACAAAGAGTCATGAGGATGAGTAAGGAACTGGAACATCTCTGATTATAAGGAGAGGCTGAGAAAGCTGAACTGAGGGACAAGTGAAGAAAATAGAATTAGTCTCCTCAGAGGCACCCAGTGACAGGACAAAACAAACTGATATATGGGAGATTTCATCTGGACCTAAGAGAAACATCACTTTTTCTCTGAGGGTGGCACAGGTTGTGTGCCACAGACACGTGGAGTCTCCATCCTTGGAGGCATTCAAAATACAATGGGGTGCCCTCCTCGGCCACCTGCTCTTGCAGACCCTGCTTTCACAAGGGGATCAAAGTAGCCCATCTCCACAGGTGCATTCTAGTCTCAGCTATCATACAATTCTGTGATTTCATGAAGGTTAAATATATAAGAGAATATTTTCATTGCACTTCATTACACATTCCCAGTGGTCTGTTAATAACACAGGAAAATTTACCCATTTTCATGATTAAGCTTCTGAAAAACTGTCTTTAAATATTTCTTAAGCTAGTGGAATTTATTCTCCAACAGTCTGGAAAAAGCCACCATTTATAGAGTCTTAATTGTGTTTACAGAGATGAAAGAGGTAAAATAAGTGCTCTGTGCAGTAAAAAAAAATGTAAATACAAATTTCAAAGTTAAAATTATAGGCATATAGGAAAGTCTGAAAGTCAGAAGAGGCCTGTGGAGATCATCTGGTTCGACCTTCTGGTGCAAGGGCTGTGATGAGGTTATTCAGGGTCGCGTGAAGCTGAATTAGCAGGAGAAATTGTACCATTTCCCTGGCTACTTATTCCATGATGCAGAACACTTTTCTTATATCCAGATGAAATTTCCCCTGAAACAACTTTTACTTCTGGTCTGTTGTCTTGTTGCCATGCACGGTGCTGAAGAGAGAGAGCATCTTCTTCTTCTCTATAGCAGTTTTTTTAGTTACTGGTAGACAGACATCTCCCCAAAGCTTCTCTTCTGTGGGGTTACCCAAGCACATTTCCTTATTGACCCCTCATTGAATGCCAGGTTATCCAATCCTCTCACTGCTTTGGTGGCCCTTTGCTGGATCACCTACTTTCTTTCTTTCTCTTAAACTGGGGGATATTCACTCCATGTAGCCCAGATGGGCATGTTTCTTCTGGTAAGATTTTGCAGCACAAGGAGGTTTTTCTGGAACGCTATGAGGATGTCTCATAGCTAGTTATAAGTATCAAAACAGTTTTCCTAAATTCTAAAGAGAAATAAATCTCAATTTTATTGGATAATTTTTCTGAGTAGTGCAGAAAAGAGTAAGTCATAAGGGTGAGGTAAAGTATAACAGGTTTGAATCTGTTCTGGTAGGAGACAAGGCGGGGTGTTCTACCATTACCTTTGTGGAAGCAGGGAATAACAAACAATTTTGTGGAAGATGTGCTGAACTGGGACTCGATGAACAGTTGGACTAAGAAAATCAGTCAACATCCTGTGAAACAGAGAGAGCCCTGGGGTAGCCCAGCATGAAAAACCTTACAAAAGCGTCCAGAACAGACCTTTTTGCTGCCAGTATACAACTTTCCACCTGAGAGGCTGCTTACTTGCTTTTATATGGAGAATTAGTCTTGAAAGATACTGCAATGAGACAGCAAATACTGGCCTCATTGTGTGAAATTTGTCTGCATCCCTTCCTTGATGCCGTTTTTCTTTGAAGACTAAGACTTGCTGAAATAATTGGGACTCTAGGTTTCTGTACCTCATTTTTATAGGAAAACTTGGAAGATAATAAAGAGTTACATATAAGTCAGCCTAGTAATCAGTAGTTGTAAAAGGAGTGTTCTTCCCCTTCAGGAAAATAGTGATGGGCTGGGACTTTGTATTCCCTGTTTAGGTTTTACAAGATGTAGCTAATACTAACCTTTTACCCATGTCTGCTGCTAAATACAAAACTGACAGGAACTAATTCTCAGCCCTGAGGTCAGTGGTTTCACACTGCCTAGAATAGATTATCTTGGGAATACTTATGGCAAAGGTCCAGAACAGAGCCAAGAAATGTCTTTCTAAGTGTGGTGCATGAATATTTGGTGCATGGATTCTCTACCTGGGTCCCTTTTATTTATAATATAGATGTGTTCCTTGAATTTAAGCCCTTCCCTCAAAACTCCTGTTTGCCCTTAGTAGTTGAGAAAAAGTAGAAAAGGGACAGAACATCATCTGTTGGGTATTGGTTTCATGATAGAGCTTGGATTGATCATTAACAGGTTCTAAGAAAGGCATCAAAAATCAGGAGTAATATCTCTTATCAAAAAGAAACCAGTGGTGTTGGTTTATAGAAGGAAAGTGAAGAATCTTTTCTTGAGTAATGTTGCTTGTCCTGTTTATGTGTGCATCATTTGGTGTACCTGCAAAAGCTGTCTAGGCAGTGCATTTGGAATGGACTCCCCTTATAGTTAGCAAGGAATCAAAGTGAGGGGGGTCCTTAGTCCTTGACTGGAGGTTTTTAAATACCATGGTGTGGATAAGATTGTAAGTGAAAACATTCCTGTGTAGGTAGTTACAATCAATAGCCCTGAAGTGAGGGCATATGTGTTATAGAGTGAGAATGGTGGCTGCAATATGATTTTTATGATATTCCATGGAATCTGGTGCTTTTCCTTTGCAAACTGTAAGCTCTTGTGAAGTGCAGCAGAATCTCAGTTTCCATTTAGAAGAAAGGATCAGTTGTATGAGAATGGTCAACTTGAAAATGTGGGCCTTGACATTCAAGAATTAAAAATGTCTTAAACGCCTTAAGACTGGTGGGGCAGTTCCTGATTTTGAATGATGTGACAATTTTGAATAGTAGAAGAGTATTTCCATTCTGTTGTTGATATCCTTGCTGAGTACTTCTTAGTGAAGTGGCTGGTCCAAATCATACCCCCAAGCAAGCATCCAGACTCCTCTGTCACCAGAAGAAAGGGTTAATTCTGAATGGATGCTAGGCATGCTTGGCTTCCCCAACTGTGTTGATTATAGGCTTTGCTTCTTTAAGGGTTCAGCTGTTGGTGTGGCTGTTTAGGAATGACCTATTTACACCAGGTTCTGTCTTAACAACTGTACTTTGAATGCATTTTGGAGTTTTTTTTTTTGTTACTCAGAAGTGGTGCTTAATATATTTAATATTTTTAGTGCCCTACAGATACCAAAGCAACGTTTGGGGTCCACCTAAAAGTAGTAGGAGACTGGACAGGTATGTAGATAAACAATTCATTTTCAGAGACAAATGCCTTTACTTGAACTGTTCTCACTTTCTGGCTTCAGCACAACTGTTCCTTGACTGTGATGTATTCTCACTAGAGATTGTTCATGCTTGTTTTCCCAAAGTTGTTTTTATTACATTCTTGATGCAATCCCTGCTTTATTCAGATGTGCTATTTCTTCAAATAACATGTTTTTCCAACTACTAACTGATCTTCTATTGCACTGTAATAATTTTCAGCATTCTTCCATTTCCGCCTCTTTTTCTTGTTTTTGGGTAGCCTGCTACCCCTGTGCAGTGCAGTGCCTCTGTGCATAGTATTTTCTGCAGAAATGCTGAAATGTGCAGCTCCCAGATAAGCGGATTTTGATGCCAGCAGTTTGGATGGCAGCCAGGTTAATTAACGCCTGTGGTACACTGAGATTACAGGTTTGCTTTCATGTTCTTCCATGCTCTTCCATTGCTCTTTGAATGTCCTCCAGACTAGGCGTGTAAGCCAGCATTCCCCACAGAGGAGCAGGGCAATTTGGTGCTCCCTGTGACAGTTGTATACTCAAGTGATAGTTGTCCTTATTCCTTAGTGTCTGACTTTGTTCTTGCTCAGCATAGCATTTCCTTGTAAGGAAAACAGATACACAGCAGTGTTTGGTTCATTTCTTATGAAGAAGTGTTCTCCATGTTAATTTGTATCAGCTTGTGTGTTTGTGGAATTGAGTCAAATGAGCTTGTCGCCCTAAAAGGGATTAGACCAATGCAGAGATAATAAGTCTTTGCATATTTGTTGAACTTTCTAGTCTGGCTACATACTTGCCTCTGCAAGACTTCAATTGGCAAAGGCTGAAAGGGCACTGCCATACGCACATGTGTTCTATAGTCCTCCTGATTTTCTCTCCTTGCTTGAAGTGTTGGCCAGACAGGGGCAGATCAGCCTCTGGTCTACCTCAGAGTGATGGCTCTTTTGTTGTCTAGCACCATTCCTACATGTGAGATGACAGTAGGCTATTTGGAAAAGTGGGATGGAGAAGTACTAAATGTTTTTTCCAAAATAAGTGGCATCTTTGCAGTTTTCTGATTACCTCTGAATGCTCTTTTAGCATTTATGTATTATTCTCCCAAGTCAGTATCTACAGTCTCCACTGAAAGGAAGGTCTGTCTAGGTTGGACTGTGTGATATTCAGGACACCGTCACATTACAGACACCGTTTATTGCAGGAGTTCTGCTAAAGAGAGATATCTCTCCCGGTGTCAAATGTGCTATCGATAAGCAGATGGTTTACTCAGCCCTTTATGCTGCATCAGTACCATGGAGCCCTGTTCTCACTCATTCCCTTAAGCCCTGTGACAATTAATAGTCTCTAATCTTCTGACTGTTTGAGGAAGGATTATTATATTTGCCACGTTCCTTATTATCTTTCTTAAGCATGCTCTAAAGGCTGCTTCTGCAGACAGGATATTAGGCTGGAGGAGTTTTTATGAGACATACTGTCATTTGAGCTCTTTTCATGACCTATTCTCTCAGCCTTTATCCTATTTATTAAAATTCTCTTTTGTATCGCCATCTCCCATCCGTAACAGTTCATACCTGATGCCAAAGAGACTTGATGATTTATTTCAGAGAACTCAATTACAAGCCTAAATTAAATGGATGCAAGAGAAGTGCAGATATGCCATGAAATGCAGAGAAGAACTGGTTGGCTGAGGTATTTCTCCTCTGCATAGCTTTAGCTGCTGCTGCCTGCATCTGGGAGATGTGGTGAAGCAACTTTTCCTGCCTCTCACTGTAAGGACAGGAGAGGGAGTACAGATTGCTGGCAAACCAATTCTGCAAGTTGTTTCAGATGAAGTCTCTTAATGTCTCTGATATTTTGAAAATGCAATAGAATGCCTTGTTTTGTAGGTTGAGAAAGCAACTGCATGTCAAGAGAAAAGGGATAATAGTATTTTCAGCTCCTTATGAGTAGTTGCTGTTGATGGGAAGTCATTTATTGCCCACATTGCAGTGCATTGTCCATATCCCAGTGTATATAATTTTAGATTTTAAATAAAATAAGCTGAAAGAAGCAGCCTTTGGAAAAGTCAGTCATCCTAGAAGTAGTGCTTTGCGTAAGAGCCAATACTTAGTAGATTTTCAGGCAGTACTGTTACTTGCTTTTTAAAACCAATTATTTGAATCATGGAAAATGTAGGACAGAAAAAGCAGGTAAGAGGGGAAGAAGCTACAAAAACAGTAGCTCTGAGACCTTTGCAAACCAACTGCCAATCTAGACCCCCTGTTTCATGCTCCATTCAAATGAAATCTGAGTTTAGAACTGAGTTTAGGACAGCTGAGAATTTGCCCCCCTCAGAAGCAGATTTAGATAAAAGCACAAATTTTCTTTCCATTATACAAGCACCCACATCCTTTTCCAATACAAATCTGAGCTCTCCTATTTCTCGCCTGTGTTGTGGTGGTATTAATAACTGTACAGTGCTTAAATTTCATGTTCATCACAGAAAACAGACACACAGGCACTGATATTGCTGTAATGTGCCCTCAGATGCCTTTGAAGCACATATTTTCACCTGAAATAATTCCCATAGCTCACTTTGTGGACTTCTGACCTGTTTATATGTCTAGTTTAGGATAAGACAAGCCAGGCCCCAAGCATGCCTTTTCCTCTTCATTCATTGTAAAGAGTGTATATCCAAATATCTATATCGATATCTATCTCACTGCCTCAGAGGTAGGTAGTTCAGTTAATTGGCAACTGGTCAGTGATTTTTCCCATATAAATGTTTCTAATTTGGTTTTTCCTTCCATCTTTTGCCATGTGCCATGGGTATTGCGAATATGGGAACAGCTATCACAGGCCTTCCTAAAAATGGATTTGTGATTATGCAATTGCTGTTCTTGTGCTGACATGTGACTACTTAAGTCAGCACTTACTGTATTAATAAAATATTCTGTGGCACTGTGAAACCTGTGTCTGTGGAACATGGATTAGTTGGACAGTCTTGGGTGCCCAAGTTAGGATGTGTTTACAGTGGCTGATCTGTGGTGACTGCACATGTGCAGGTTGGTTTAGCCCCGTGGTGCAGAGCTGAGTCAGCCTGTGAGAACCTCTGTGGCTTCCCCAGGCTGAGCTGGCAGGTGTTTAAATAATGCAGTAACATCAAGGGTCCTGCAGTGGCTCATGTATGGGTCAGAGCTGTGTGATGCATTGATGAGCTAGTAAGCTGGACTTGTTACGCCCCCTCTAGAAATCTGTTTTGTTCTGCTTCTCTTGGTACCTGTGGTCACCTGTTTTTCCTTTAGCTTTGAAATATTTGTTTGCTTAGTATTTACAACACGATTTTTTTCAAGGTTTTTTTTTTTTGTCCCACTTACTGTCTAGTTTGTCCTTAGTGTTGTCATCTATCAGCCTTGTGTCTCTTCTGTCCTTGTTGCTGCCTCAAGTACTACTGCTTGTTTAGTTTTAAAGCTGACATTTCATCTGGCACTTCTGGAGGGAAAAAGAGAGGCCATGGGCCATGCCTCACATCCAACAACTTGACAGCAGTGAAAAAAGACATGGCAGTGTATCAAGACAATGTGTCTCATTCACTAGACAAACTTCAGGGTGTGAGACAGAAAGTGATATTGATGATGCAGAAATAACTTGCTTCAGAAGCCATGCAGCGTGTTTTTGTGGAAAACAAATGCACAGCACTCAGAGGTATTGAGGTGAACTGCATGCTTTAAGGCAGTGAAATATTGCTGTTATGTTGCTGTGTGTTGCTGGAACAAATTGATGTGGCACCGTGTTTAGAGCTCTGATGCTGTTCTGTGCTCTGCAGTAATTTGTTTAATTTGTATCTAGTAGTGACACTATCCTGCTGTGTAGTTGTGTGTGTTCCTAGAGACATTTTCAAGGCTTGTCCTGAGCACCCTGATATTTATTGTGGTGATGCCATCAGAGCACTTGAGTACCACCCATTGTATATGAGAGTTCTGTCCTATAGGTTACTAAATGTCATGGCAGCAGGTGGTGGTGATGTGTGCAGGAACTGTCCAGATAGAGGCAGAACAGACAGATTATGGAGTACTGATGTGCTTCACCCTAATAAACTCCAGATCTTAGCAGAAAATATATATATCTTTGCTTCATTTTTTTTTTTTTTTTTTTTTAACAGTTGAGGTTATGCCTGGTCGCTGGGTCATTCAGGTACAGGCAACCTTATTTGGAATCCTGACACGGCATAATGGGAATTTTTGTCACATATTGCCACAGTCCTTCTTCTGGAAGGCTCAGCTTTGGACTGGAAGTTTCAGGAGGGAAAAACAAACAATTTTTTTCAGTTAAAAGCAACAATTTTCCAGCAAATGTATGAAAGCATGGATCTTGTTTAATTCCCTATGGAGTAAGACCTGAGGCAGCAAACATTACACACCCCAAATTGCTTGTTTTTAAACTGAAAAAAAACCCAAAAAAACAAAAAGGAAGGCAGTTGTTTGGAATTTTGGAGACTAAGTATTTTTCTCACATTGATCAGAAGAAGAAAATGACATACCTTTTAAGTGCCTCTGAAAGAAGAATGATCTGAACATCCTAGTCTGGGAGAGTTTGTCAGGAGTATCTGCATGACTGTGTTCTTGCAGCTCCTGACTTAGGGTATGCCTGAAGCATCCCAAGGCTATGCATTCCTGTCCTTACCTGGAACTTCTCATCAAGTGTAGGGTCTAGCAAAGAGGCAGTATGTTGCATTCAGTAACCCTGAGAGCAGTTTTAGATGTATTGAAGTAGTGGATCACTCAGTCAGTATGTACTCTGTTGTTAGCAGATCTTGATTCTGACTGAAGGAATGGGTGGAACAGAAGATGCTAAGAAGGAATAATAAGACTACAAAGTCAGTCCACAGGAAATGACAGTGGTGTCCCAGGTTCACTGTAACTGCTACTGAGTTTCTTAAAAAATATCTACTCACTAGTGATGAACATTTGGTCAACTCTTTTGCTATTACCTCAAGCTCTG